AACAAACAAACAACACTTGCAAGTGCCAACCCCACCAATGTGAGTGAAGTAAACAAACAAACAACACTTGCAAGTGCCAACCCCACCAATGTGAGTGAAGTAAACAAACAAACAACACTTGCAAGTGCCAACCCCACCAATGTGAGTGAAGTAAACAAACAAACAACACTTGCAAGTGCCAACCCCACCAATGTGAGTGAAGTAAACAAACAAACAACACTTGCAAGTGCCAACCCCACCAATGTGAGTGAAGTAAACAAACAAACAACACTTGCAAGTGCCAACCCCACCAATGTGAGTGAAGTAAACAAACAAACAACACTTGCAAGTGCCAACCCCACCAATGTGAGTGAAGTAAACAAACAAACAACACTTGCAAGTGCCAACCCCACCAATGTGAGTGAAGTAAACAAACAAACAACACTTGCAAGTGCCAACCCCACCAATGTGAGTGAAGTAAACAAACAAACAACACTTGCAAGTGCCAACCCCACCAATGTGAGTGAAGTAAACAAACAAACAACACTTGCAAGTGCCAACCCCACCAATGTGAGTGAAGTAAACAAACAAACAACACTTGCAAGTGCCAACCCCACCAATGTGAGTGAAGTAAACAAACAAACAACACTTGCAAGTGCCAAAGATGAACTGGGCTTTCAACATGTGTAGACATGGAGTGCATTTACAAGTAAAAGCATACTACTCACCATCATGGCGGGTATATGTACCACATCATGTTGACTACAATACAAAAATATCAAGTAAAAATTTTAGGATTTGTTCCTTAAAACTATTCAAATAAAATAGAAAGATCCTCTCTCTCTAGATTCTGTCAACCAGCTCTACGCTTGTTTTGATTGAAAGTTTTGCTACTTTATAGTTTTCACTTTGCAATTCTATATAATATCATTGTATTTATATATACAGAGAGAGATTTTACAATATATTTCCTGCCCTTAGTTAGCATTAAACCTAGCGACCCTCTCCCACATAGAGCAAATGTGATTTCAGATATAGAAACTAAAAAAAGCGTATGCCTTTGATCCCAACCCGAGTAGCACCTCCGCCCCCCCCTGCCTCAACTAACCCAAACTGCTGGCAGTAGTTCTCAGCCAATCAGCATGCCTACAATTATCCGGCCTTTCATAGTCGGGGCCAAGAAAAAGAAAACTCCACCCCCTCCCCCCTTGGCCAATGTGACCAATTCTAATGAAAACATCCAACTCTCCCAGACGAGCCCTTTGATCCAGGTTTTAGCCTGCCCAGGCACATTTAACTCTCAGAACCCCAATAAAACTCCCAGGCCAAGTGACCTAGGAAATGTTCTCATTGACTTTGAAACCTTTGGTCTGAATTCTCCCCCAACTTCACCTGTTCCATCGCCATCCCCTTCCCTTCTGGACGCAGACAACCCCACGGGATTGTCCCTGCTGGACTTGCCCAACCCCCCTCTGTCTGAAGACAGGCAGTTTGGAAACTTCAAGTTTGCCCTCCCACTCTCAGAAGTTGCCCCTCAGGAGCCCACAGGACTGATACCTGATGATCCCTCGGCCACCAAATCCATCAGCAACATTTCTAGCTCCTCCAGGATGCTGCAGACAGCAGCAGTCTCCTCCAAGACCAACCTGGTCTCCTCCAGCTTCTCCACCATCAGACACAAAAGGCTTCGAGCCCTCTATGATTTCACTGCAGAGCAGGAAGGTGACCTGCAGCTGAGGGTAGGGGATGAAGTCCTTCTGCTCTATGAGCTCAATGAGGACTGGCTGTATGGCAGAGTGGGCAATAGGGAAGGCCAGTTCCCAGCCAACTTTGTCTCCAGCACACCTGCCCCAGTTCAGCAACAACAGCCTAAATTGTTTCAAGCCCTGTATACTTTTGTCGGGGAGCACGAGGGTGACCTCAGCTTCCAAGTTGGGGACCAAATTCTTCTCCTGGATAAGATCAACCATGAATGGTGGTACGGCAGATGCAATGGCAAGGAGGGGCAGTTTCCCTCCAACTTTGTTCATGACATGAAGGTGGAAGACCAGCAAGTTAAGGTTGTTGCTCTCTTTGACTATTTTGGGGAGCAAGACGATCTGTCTTTCAGGGCGGGTAATGAGATCCGAGTGCTCTACGAGCTGAACCAAGAATGGCTCTATGGAGAACTGAACGGAGTATGCGGCCAGTTTCCTGCCAATTTTGTTTGCCAAGTAAACATTGAACCTCCTCTGGGCATCTTTGTGGCCAAGTATGACTTCTCCATGAACCAAAGTGGCTACCTAGAGCTGAAGTGTGGAGATCACCTTCTGATCACAGAGTGTATCGATGCTGATTGGTGGTGTGGCATCAATACTCAATCTGGAGCCTCGGGGATCTTCCCAGCCTCTTACATCCACCAGCCTGACTCCTGAGTCGTTGCTACTGTAAATCCTTCAAGTCCAGAGAATAGAACCAAATTAGACAGAATAAAATCTATTTTGTAATATTCATATGTTATATAAGCTTTGATGTAGCTCAAAGTCATTGCCACTCTATTGTCATCAGAGTCACTTTACAAAAGTCCAAGGAGAAAAGGGAGTTTGGATATTGGCTGTCTGTTCAAGAAGTAATTGAGGAATGGATCACGTTCTTTGTTTCCCCATATTTAAATTTTTTGATGCCTTTTTAGCCAATTTTTCCTATTTAACCATAATTATATTCAAAATGTTGACTTAGAAGTAAAAATTAATAAATTTAGTCCATCTTAATATAATTTCATCTGTTGAAATTCATGAAAGTTGTCTAGCCATGAGGAGAGATTGCTAAAACTTACGGCTGACATTTTATTTGGCTGGGGCACTTTGTTACGTTAATTTTTCTTTGACAGGATTTTTCATCTTTGCTGGGAGCTTAAGACATTTTAAAAAATATTTTTGTGTGGTTACATTTGAAAATAAAATTAAATTACTAAATTTCTTTTTAACAAATATGATTTTAGATTTGATTATAACCCTTTTCAGACCACTGTCATTCCATTACATCACATTTTGACAGCTTGGCCACAATTTACTGTCTGTTCATCTCATCTCCCCCTAAACTTCCTTCCTTCATGACACCTTCCATCTCAAGCTTTACAAGCTTGACACCCTAATATGATTGAGTGAAGATAAGGAAGAAGAAGAAGTTGACACCTTCCCCGACATTAAAAAAAAAACTTTTATTGGGCTCTAAAAATCATTGTGAAGAAAAGTGAATTTGTACTTGGACCAGGAGGATAAATTGAGAAAAAGGGAATTTCCTGATCGTGCAACTAAAAGTTGCTGATGGCTTGTGTCATCTATCGGAATAAAGATCGACTACGTTGATTTAATAATTATTCCAGAATTGGCCAAATACCGTTTCTTGATTAATCAAGAATCAATAAAAATCAATGATTAGTTGATATTTTTCCAATAGATGGCACAAGCCATCAGCCACTTTTAGTTGCATGATCAGGAGATGCCTTTTTTTCTAAAGATCATGTCGCGATGTTTCTTATGATTTTGGCAGCCTAAAACTAATGCATATTCTTCTTCTGTAGATGATGGTGCTCTGTGGGAGAATATCTTGCAAGGGGATTCAGGACCTCTAAAGCAGATTTTGGTTTAATCCATCCTTTTCTATATATACAATAGAACCTCTCTTTAGCGGACACCCCGCTAGCAGACACCTCTCCACAAAGAACAGTTTTCATTCGCAAAATTATCATTTTTACAATTTAGAAACTCTCCGGTAAAAGGACACCTCTCCTTAAAGGACACTTTGGCTCTGCAATTAGGTGTCCTATACAGGGAGGTTCTACTGTATAAAAAGAAACATTTTTCTCTAGCTGTTCATTAATAAACTACTGGATCTCAACAAATTCCCATGTAACCCCTCTTAACCCTGTAGAGGTTTATTGTTTACATAGAAATCATTTTTCTTCATTGCAATTTTATTTTTGTTTTTAATCACTCACAAAAATGTTAATTTATATCTTTATTCATATTAATCACTAAGACAGGACTACAGACACAAAGGGCTATTTTTTAATAGGATTTTTTTTTTCTAAAAATCCAAGTACTTAAAAACTGTCTTTATTACTAAAGCATTTTTTTTTTCTAGATAAAAATTAGTTTTTTCTTTAAAAGTTGTTTAGTTTTTGCTTCTCTTGACATTTTACCTAAAGTGCAACTTTGATAAAAATTTAAATTTCCTTTTAAATTTTGTAAACCCACTAACGAGATTAGATTTCAATAAAGTAATTTTGAATAGTTTATATATATATAACAGTCTTTTGTGACAAATATCAAATGTATTTTTGAATCTATTTTGAGGCAATTTCCATCAATAATTTGAGTAGGTTCCTCAGTTCTAGAGAATTTATCTGTGTGGGTCAAATTATACCAAAACAAATTACTTCTCCTCTCTCTCACTTCTTTAGAGTAAATGAATTCTCATTTTTCATTAAAAGTAACTTCATTGCCTTTTGAAACAGTTTTTGAGACTGAAAGTAAAATGTATTCTCAAATCACGTACAAAAAGTACTTTTTCCAGTTTGACAATGTTTTCTTCTTCCTTTTGAATCATGTGCTTCATTTTAATAGTTCCTTTGACTAATGATTTTATACTTTTTCCAATTTCATCCAACATTGATGGTTCTTTTTCAAAATTTTTATTTTCCAAGCGTGATCTACCATTAGTCATGTGTGAGGGACATGCCAATTGTCAAATTTGAGTATAATGAGTATGAACAAAATTCTGTATTGAGAGGAAATTCTCTTTTTAGATTAGAAGATCGACCTTGATCTTTAACAAATTAGCTTCTTCTTTATTCTTTTGTGAAAATGGAATCCCTTTTGATCTGTATATCTATTAGAAGTCTTCTTGATAAGGCACAATTTGGATTATAGATTATAAACACAAGGTAATAAGACCAAATCCAAATAAATAAATAGTGTGTGATGTTTCGGTAACAGCGTTGTTACCATCTTCAGACAAAAGTACTGAATGAAAAAAGATGTTTCTGCCAGGGCTCGAACCTGGGACCTTCCGTGTGTTAGGCGGATGTGATAACCACTACACCACAGAAACATACCAACATTCAGTACTTTTGTCTGAAGATGGTAACAATGCTGTTACCAAAATGTCACACACTATTTATTTATTTGGATTTGGTCTTATAACCTTGTGTTTAGAAGTCTTCTTGTTTTTGGGATTGTGCCAACATTGCTTTTGGAGATGGCCAGGTTTAATTGTGAAATGTTTAAGTTTACTCTTTCTCTCTCTCTTGTGCTTTAAAGACGTTGCATTTACCGTCATGTTTTTTTTTTTCAAAGTAAAGAAGGGTTTGTCTTAAATTTCCTCTAGAAATATTTCTATTCATAATTAGAGCTGTAGAATTACTTGTGTAGTTATCTGGGACACCTTCAATTATGTATCTGACTAATTCTCTTTCAGATATTAATTTCAGATATTTGATTGCATGAGGTCTAGTTATATAATTGTCAATATTTTCATTGTGCCGTTTCTTTTAATTTAGCAAGGTTTAAGAAAAGATTCATTACCTTGGCTTCTGCTTCACCCTTAAATCTTTCTTTTATTGAATTCCAGATTTGTCTGACATTCTTTATTCCTTTGTAGGTAATTGCAATCTCAGGAGGCATACTAAAGATCAGATATCCAAGGGCTTCCTTGTTTTTCCTGCTCCAATCTTAATAGATGATGATCATTCTCATTTTTAGTTGGCATTTGAACCATTTCAATCACGTCAAAAGTTACTTGGCTCTAGGGAAAGGTTTCAATTCTCATATTCCAAATAGCATTATTTCTTCCATAATGTATTACACTATTTTTTTATTTCACCAAATTTCTGACAAATCCCTTAAGGTGCGTTGGGTAATTTTTCTTTTTAAATTAGATTTTTAATTGTTAATGAGAAGAAATGAATACTTTTGGGGATCAAAATGATTTGAGTTTTCTTTCTGAAACATACATTAAACTTATTTTATTTTACCTCTTGATATGAAGACTTTTTTTTTCCTTTACAATCCTTTGCCTCATGTTTTTTTTTTTTGCTTATCCCTAAGTACACGTGGTACAGGCCATGATAATCATGGTGGGTAGTTAGCGACTGCTTTTACTGTAAGCGCACCACATGTATACACATGTGAAAAGCAGTTCGACTTTGCACTTACAAATTCCAGAGCCCCTTTTGGTTACTTGCACTCGCTGGTGGGGTTGGACTTTTGCAAGAATCGGGGGCCATTGGAGCATTTTTTTTTTAAACAGAAAAAAGTGTCCAATGCGGGAATCGAACCCGGGTCCTAGTGGTCTAAAACCAAACGGTTTAACCAGCCTTCCACCGACCCCTTGCCTCATGTTGGTCATATTAAGTGGCATGTAAATGTGTCCCATTTACTAAAGATTTTTATAATTAGTTTTATTGAGATGGAAGGAAGCAGTAGGGAGTAAAATAAGATTTATAGATAATTGAGGAAGAGGGGGTTACGACCATGGATCCTGCGGGAAAGGTTGTTGGTGAACTCCAAGGCCACTTGTAGATCACAGAGAGAGAGGCCACATTACTTGTTAGTTTGAGATAGAGAACACACTTATTCTATATACAGTTATCAGCGTCATGCGTTCTGTCACCGTTTGCTTTTGGTGACGTGATCGTAGCGAGCCAATAGGAGAGCGCCATTCAGGTGTCACCGTTTGCTGCGCCACCATGTGGCGCGACGGTGACCTTGAGTGACGTAATGACAGGGTAGGAACAAGAAATCACTTGCTATCATTATCATATAATTTTATGTATATATCAGATTTAAAATATATTCATACAAAAGATCTAAATAATACAATTTTCAAATATCGTTGTGAAAATTTTTATTTTTGTATTTTAAAAACACACAAAGATTGAAGCGGGACGTTTCAAAAGAGTGCCATCCACGACGCCAATTTATAATAGTAAAGAATAGTATTTTAATAAAACATTTAATCGGGTAAAACCCGGGCGTTGCCCGGGTCATTCGGCTAGTAGATTATTAACACAAGGTAACAAGACCAAATAAATATATAGTGTGTGATGTTTCGGTAACAGCGTCTGATGATTCAGTTACTCTTCTTTCTTATCTCCAATCATATTAGAGTATCAAGCTTGTAGAGCTTGTTGATGGTGTCTGCTGGGGATGCTGAGTAGAGCTCATCAATGGATGAGTCTATACAGTGATTCACCACTGATCATTGCTGATAATGCTGAAATGTCACACACTATTTATTTATTTGGTCTTATTACCTATCTAATATAAATTGTACCTTATCATACTTACAAGTTATTATTAGATTCACATGTCAGTTCCAGAACTTACATCACCTGCCTTGCAAGTTGGAAAGCAAACACATCACCAACACTCTCTCTTTGTGGGGTAGATAACACAAATTTTAAGGAATAAATAATTATAGATGTAAACACAAGGTAATAAGGGCCAAATCCAAATTAAAAATAGTGTATGATGTTTCGGTAACAGTGTTTTTACCGAAACATCACATACTATTTATTTATTTGGATTTGATCTTATTACCTTGTGTTTATAATCCAAATTGTGCCTTATCACAATTGTAGATATACAAATAATTAGAATTATTCAATTTCATATGGGTTTCACCTTGGGTATACATCATGTTACAACAATATATAGCAGCCCTATATGTCTTTCAAAAACTGGTCACTCTCAGGTGAGGAATGCTGTGAATGGACTTTGCTTGCTGCTCTAATTTACATAGCCAGATCATCGAGTAAACTTGAAATAAATAATACAGTAGAACTACCTCCCTGTAAAGGACAACACCTAATTGCAGAGTCAGAGTGTCCTTTAGGGAGAGGTGTCCTCTTACCGGAGAGTTGCTATATTGTAAAAATGGTAATTTTGCAAATGAAAACTGTCCTTTGTGGCGGGGTGTCCACTAAAGGGAGGTGTATTAACTTGAAGCAGAAACCTGTTGGTACACCACATTGTTCCATGATACCCTAATACATGTATTTGAGCCTGTGCTATCCAGCCATTCTGCCATGGCTCGTTGAGAAAAAAAGTTTTATTCTACACTAAAAACCTCTCTATAGTAAACCCCAATGGGGCCGAACTTTTGGTTCACTATAGCCACGGTTTGGCTATTATTTTTTTTTTTTACTTTTATAAATTTGTAGACCATATAATTAAAGGGCAGCCATACACACAGGAAAAGGCTACTTCTTAATAGTGATCACTTTGTTTTTAATTCTCTAAATTGACCAACAATTTCCTTTTATTGTTGCTGAATAATAAAATAAGTCACATTTGATGATAGGTTTTTCTTATCATTAGCATACATGTACTTCTAACCAGACAAATCCTTGGCAAAGTTTTATTAATTATATACAGTAGAACCTCCCTGTAAAGGACACCTAATTACAGAGCCAAAGTGTCCTTTAGGAAGAGGTGTCCTCTTACCGGAGAGTTGCTAAATTGTAAAAATGGTAATTTTGCAAATGAAAATTGTCCTTTGTAGAGAGATGTCCGCTAAAGGGAGGTTCTACTGTATTAAAAATATAAAATCATTTTTTAAAAAATATCTTTATCATATTATATAATAGAAAGTTAATTGAATAAATGCCTCTAAACACCTTGTTGCTTGAAACCACTCTTCAAGCATTGCACCTGTCAAATAGAGTTTGATAATTTCTTCTATTTCATGTTTCCACATATTCTTTTGAAGCCTAGATTTCATTTTATTTTAAACCTGTCATGCAAACTATTGCTTGCTTTAAAATCACCATAGTTCATTGCAAAAAAAATGTTTTCGTTGCATTTGGCCTTTTTTTTTTAGCCTATGTTAAACTAGCTCTCTAGATATGGAGCACTTCTAAAAGGGCAAGCTAACATGTACGATCGCGGCAAAAGTTGGCGTTGATTCTTATATCTTTGTAGAAAATTTTAATAGCTTCTATTTTTGTATCTTATAATAGAAACATGTTACTTTTTAAAATTTTAACATGTTCTGAAATTTTTGGCCTGCGTTGTCTCACATTGAAAAGTTTTGATAATGACTTTTTTCTAATAATAGCTTTTTTTTTTAGAACACTTTTCTTTTTTATTTTCTTTATTTTGGAAGCCATTCAAATTCTTTTCTATTTCAAAAAATGACGAATGCAAAGATATTATATTTAATAAAAGGTATATTTTGTAAAATTTCAATAACATGCAGCAAAAATAGAACGTAAATGTAAAAAAACATTGCCGCCTAATTTATTGTTTTGAAATTACGATTTATGAGCTGAAACACATGCTCAAAATTTGGCTGTTTTAAAAATATATTAATATCAATTTTAAGTTCATTATAAGCTAGTATTTTAAATGGTATTTATTATTTTGGGACTTGAAATAGGTTCGTTATAGTGGTAGTTTGTTATTTTAAAACTTGCAAAATTCGTTATAACAATGGAATTTTCAATGGATGGAATTGGGGATTACCTTAGGTTTGTTATAAGGGAAGGTTTGCTATATCCTGGGCTCATATTAGTGGGGTTTTACAGTAGTTACATTAAAAAAGAATAAAACTTAATATATTAAATATGTTGTAAGTAGTAAAAAAAGCATATAGTCCAATGGTCACCTAGAACATGCATTTCATTCTGTCTTAAAGCCATTTTTCTTTGGTACCATGCTAAAGAACCTTTTTTAAAAACACAGTACTCTCCATGAATTACAATTGACTCAAATGTAGTGTGGAATACAAGTATATAAGAGCAGGGAGGGGAGCAGGCCGTCATTCACTCTATGATGTATTGAAGGAGACTTGTCCAGATGCTGGAAGAGAAGGCCAAGGAGCTGCTGGCATCAGTGTTTGGCCACGGGAGGTACCGCGGCAAGGTGCAGGAGGATGCCATCTCTGCAGTGCTGCCAGGCCAGCATGACGTGGTGGTGCAGATGCCCACTGGGGCCGGCAAGTCTCTGTGCTACCAGCTCCCTGCGCTAGCAGGCTACCGAGCCGGAGTTACCCTGGTGGTCTGCCCCCTCATCTCCCTCATGACCAACCAGCTGCAGCAGCTCTCCCAG